CAAATCCGTATAATTTACGTGAAATCACCTTGGGTCTGAACGATTTGTAAAGTCGAAGAAGACACCAAAATCGGAGTCATATTGAGTGTTGCGTTCATCTACAGTACTGTTCCGATTAGCCATAATATACCGGATACCCGGAGCGTTTCATCGAGAAAAAAACTTCATAGAAAATAACACATCTGGAGAAAGCAATTGCACGAACATATCTAGCCGCCACTCTACGTGTGATGTTTACAAACCGGCCACAGCTTTGCACAAATCTCAAAGATAAGCTGTCTATCTCCTCCTCCTATCTATGATTACATATTTCTTCACTTGCACATGTTCGGCAAGTTAAGTAGGACGAACGATGAGACAGTGCTCACAAAGGGCCATTGAACAAACTGGCTTCGAATATCACGATTTGCAAGAAAATAATAACCAGTGCGGTTATGGTCCATCTCTCCGATACCTGGTACCAGCCAGATAACGAAACATTTGAAGTCATTTACAAAGTGCCCCGAAACAAGTCGAATTACGTTCGGAAACTTAGCTTGGCAACGACAGAAGCTGTATCAAACAAAATCACCAACCCAACACTATACAAACAGATGAAAATCGTTGACGCACTTCAGTTTCCTTGACCTCAACCAAACCTAAGTGACGATCGGAACCATGACCACAGTCATGTCGTGATAACGCAACATGGCGTGGTAAGTTGTACGTGGAAAAAGGTCATTTGGACTTTATGGAATTGATCTTGGTCCCCCTTTCGCCCTCTATCTCATCTTATCTACTCTATTTGATTAAGCCTGATAGACAATGTTGTATTTTCACACTTCACCTCAGCGGACGAATCACATTTAGATATAAACACACATAACTGTAAATGCCTGAAGACCAAGTTATGAAAACAAGCTTGTTCGTTATAATTTGTCTTTTGACATTCTTATGGGGATCTTCCATGAATTTTCTGGGATTCTTCAACGAACAACCATTTTGTCCAGTTGGTTACTTTCAAATATTTTATTTTCCAGACCTAACACTGTAATCCTCACAATTTGTGGTTCACACAAGATAAACATATCACCCAAAACCTCAAACAAACTGTCGTTGAAGAATAATAGCTCTCCCATTCTGTGGTCAACTTTTGGGCAGATTATTGGACTGCAAATTGACCCTTTTGTTACAAATCCGTGTCAAATGTTTGATTTATTTGGAATGTACCACTTTCAAGGACACAAATATTTTACGGAATTTTACTGACCCATGAAAAGAATGATCTACGTGGTTTTTAGGAAAACTCGTTTAAGAAAGATTCCGGTGAAAATCTGTTTCTATATGAAAATTCTTTAAGTGACCGTATGGTGGGATACCATCTGTTCTCAGTCCCTACGGAATGTCTCATAAAAAACAAATACACTTAATTACTTTCGACACGTTATTTATATCTGAACATATCTTACTTTGTGAATCGCAGCCTAACGTTTTGTGTCATATTGGCAGTCAAAAATCGAACTGGTAACTGTGTGTGGTTCAGGTGTTCATTCAGAATAGTTTCCATCTGTGAAGTTCTGTTTGGACCTTTTTTCAGAATTCTCAGATGGAAGTTAATGATATGCTAACTTAACTGGTATCGAACTAGCAAAACTTTACTTATTCGTTATATTTGCACCACTCACATGTAGGCACAGAAATTAAGAATCCGCGCTTAGTGGTTCATCACGGCGAGCAAGCAATCACTGAGAACGAACTGAAAAATAACTTAACTGAGTGACAGTCAGCTTACATGCTAACTGGTGGATGCCATATGCCTCTGTAAAGTGGATGGGTAATTCGAATGTGAAAATATCAGTGCTATCGGTGCGGCCTCGTAGCTCAGCTGGTAGAGCGTGTGCGTAAAAAGCGTAGGCGGCGCTCATGCGTGGGTTCGAATTCCACCGAGACTACTGACGGTTTCACAATCTCAGAATATAAAAACTTCAAATCCGCCGAAGAACAAATTGAACAATTAACTGAGTGGAACAAATTACTTGAATTCCAATGATGACTTTCGATTCATGCAACTTGTGAGTTCGAAAGCTCTGCATTTAGTTTTACAATATTCTTCATACATTCTCAGTAGCTACCTCAGCGGGAATATTCTAGAATCAAATATTCTTAGGCAGACATTGGGTGATTCTTCGGTATCGTTTCACGTTGTCGGTTTTGATTCATTTATCTACTGTTAAGAACGCTGCCCATGTCTGAACACTATTTGAAGGGGCACTGAAAGATGTTTCTTCGAAGGGTCTTTACCGGTTTCGAGGTTGGTTTTCGTCAACAAGAACTTTACATCCGCCCAATAATCCTTTGCCAAGGAATTCATAAACGTGTAGTTCCGATTTCGCGGTTGGTTTTGGGAACGATCTCCATTACTAACTCGTTGTTTAGGCGTTTTCTCACCTTCAGTTGAGCATAACACAACGGTTTGATTCTCTCGGGTATAATTGCGAACCAGACATGTGTAACGAATCTATAGTAATGTCCAGAGAAATATGATACTTATGGCCCAATGGCGTTGAAGATCCATTACCCACAGGTTCCAAGCCCTGCGTTTAGACACAACTACTACTATGCTACTGCGGTGACGTAATTCAAGGATACAACTGGAGTGCACTGTCACGCAATGATAGATTGTTCCGTTCGCTAATAGTCGTTTGAAATCAGTCGCCAGTTCCAACAATTGACATCAATTTTGCATAATTAATCACTGACACTTAAAAAGAAAAAAGTCCGTGATTTTGTAATTATTAATTTGTGCAAATGGCGATATGCCTAAACTTTTGACTTACAAGTGATTCTAGATTATAGCTTGCCATCTAGCCAAGCATCCCTATTTCTTAGTACATATTCAACTGTATACACATCGGTTCAAACTGTATCACTTTCATTATAACATTGCACCAATGGTTAAAATCTGAATAGATCGATCAATTTATTGCTTCATGTCATCATTAAGAACGATGCAAAAATATCATTTTATATAATGGAATATTTAAATTCACAACCTATAAACGGGATCCTAGCGATTGGGTGACTGTTAACAAAACGTATCACCATATCAATGAATTGGTCACCGCCAGTCGATTCATCTGGTACAGCAAAATGTGTAAAAGAAAATGCTTAGGCAAACTGAAAGACAATTTTGCATCAAGTGAAATGTGTGTACTCGGTGCTGGATCACTACCCGTTGTGCGTGAAGTGGAAAGTCAGCTACAAAATCAACCATTGGCTTGGGAACTTTGGCGTCACGTGTTTATGCACTTTCTGAGAGATTTGAATGAAAATGTCCACCTCTTTATTAACTTATCCTAATTATCAATGTGATAATAGGATTCAGACGACCCTTCTACAAGACAAACACCGGTAATTGTTTCTGTGCCCCCGGACATTTGTAGTTTGCTTGATACGTCATTTAGTTCACCGTGAGGCTATGGAATGATATGATCAGACCACTGTTCATCAGTATAATATCAGTCCAGAAAATGAATCCTGAATATTTCGAATGAAAACGTACCGAAGCAATCCGACCATGACGCAATTCGCATCAAAATATATGTACACAAATGCAAAGGATCCCCTATGGCCATTTGGCGTAGACATAGTAATAGTTACATCACGCTGTGCTTGATCTGAGATTTCGCGTTGTTTTTGAACCAGCAGCACTCTTTATATTCTCAGTGTAAAGCCAACTGCATGATTCAATACTCTTATAAGGGGACACATGTTATTCGTTGACGAATTCTGCCATGCTCCATCAAACAAAACGCATGGGCTATTTTAAGTGAAAAATGTATAGCAATGAAAAAAGCATAGATTGAGCAGTAAGTTGTTCTGTCAATAGTATACATATTAAACTTCCTGGGATTCCTGAATGCCGTTCTTTATTGGTCACCTGTATTTCGAACATGTATACGTATGCATGGATGTACACTTGCAGTTCAACAGTCTCTACTGGTGTTCACTCCATAGCAAGACGCTTGATCGTTGGACTGCTTCAATCCACCAGATCTATCTACTGCTGACATATTTTTCCAGATGTGTAAAATCTCAGTAAACATTCTTTCTTCTATGACAGCAGTAATTTATGGGGTGAGAAAAAAACCACACGGTTGATATTGTCTCGTTGGAATGAAAACTCTTTTTTTCAAAACCCCTAAACAATGAATGTTCTCTGATAAAAAGCAACAAGATATGTACCGTATCGGTCTCCAAATGTCATGTAACGGCTATTGTTCACCTACGCTGCGAGTAAAACGAATGTTTCTCATTCTGAACCGCTTGAGTAATGCTTGGTTATTGTGACCTTTAAAACAAGAGTTTTCCAATAAGTCCCCGTAGAAGGATGCATTCTTTTTGTAGACGTTGTCCAGGTGGCAGTTATACTTGTGAAGACTAGCTCATAATGAGATAGTCGTACTAATTTGGAGTTGTGATAAATGCCAGTAACTTCCATGAGAGCCAAACCCATGCACAGATGGGGCCACAAATCTTTGTAGAGCGCACGATTCAATAGATGAACTCCGAGGCCACCTCCGGTCTGCACTGACCGCTTCAAGTCTGAATCACCTAATCAATCGACGGAAGTATTGTATTCTGCCAGTGATAATCACTATCAGACGGACAGACGTAACACAGTCTTTCAACCCAAAATTTTATATGGGGCACA